TTAGCAGGTTCTGGAGGTTCTGGAGGTTCTGGAGGCTTTAGCAGGTTCTGGAGGTTCTGGAGGTTCTGCAGGCTTTAGCAGGTTCTGGAGGTTTTAGAAGGTTCTGGAGGCTTTAGCAGGTTCTGGAAGTTCTGGAGGTTTTAGAAGGTTCTGGAGGCTTTACCAGGTTCTGGAGGTTTTACCAGGTTCTGGAGGCTTTAGAAGGTTCTGGAGGTTTTACCAGGTTCTGGAGGCTTTAGAAGGTTCTGGAGGCTTTAGCAGGTTCTGGAGGCTTTAGAAGGTTCTGGAGGCTTTAGCAGGTTCTGGAGGCTTTAGCAGGTTCTGGAGGCTTTAGCAGGTTCTGGAGGCTTTAGCAGGTTCTGGAGGCTTTACCAGGTTCTGGAGGCTTTACCAGGTTCTGGAGGCTTTAGAAGGTTCTGGAGGCTTTAGCAGGTTCTGGAGGCTTTAGCAGGTTCTGGAGGTTTTAGCAGGTTCTGGAGGCTTTAGCAGGTTCTGGAGGTTCTGGAGGTTTTAGCAGGTTCTGGAGGTTTTAGCAGGTTCTGGAGGCTTTAGAAGGTTCTGGAGGTTTTAGCAGGTTCTGGAGGCTTTAGAAGGTTCTGGAGGCTTTAGCAGGTTCTGGAGGCTTTAGCAGGTTCTGGAGGCTTTACCAGGTTCTGGAGGCTTTAGAAGGTTCTGGAGGCTTTAGCAGGTTCTGGAGGCTTTACCAGGTTCTGGAGGCTTTACCAGGTTCTGGAGGCTTTAGAAGGTTCTGGAGGCTTTAGCAGGTTCTGGAGGCTTTAGCAGGTTCTGGAGGTTTTAGCAGGTTCTGGAGGCTTTAGCAGGTTCTGGAGGTTCTGGAGGTTTTAGCAGGTTCTGGAGGCTTTAGAAGGTTCTGGAGGCTTTAGCAGGTTCTGGAGGCTTTAGCAGGTTCTGGAGGCTTTACCAGGTTCTGGAGGCTTTAGAAGGTTCTGGAGGCTTTAGCAGGTTCTGGAGGCTTTACCAGGTTCTGGAGGCTTTACCAGGTTCTGGAGGCTTTAGAAGGTTCTGGAGGCTTTAGCAGGTTCTGGAGGCTTTAGCAGGTTCTGGAGGTTTTAGCAGGTTCTGGAGGCTTTAGCAGGTTCTGGAGGTTCTGGAGGTTTTAGCAGGTTCTGGAGGTTTTAGCAGGTTCTGGAGGCTTTAGAAGGTTCTGGAGGTTTTAGCAGGTTCTGGAGGCTTTAGAAGGTTCTGGAGGCTTTAGCAGGTTCTGGAGGCTTTAGCAGGTTCTGGAGGCTTTACCAGGTTCTGGAGGCTTTAGAAGGTTCTGGAGGCTTTAGCAGGTTCTGGAGGCTTTACCAGGTTCTGGAGGCTTTACCAGGTTCTGGAGGCTTTAGAAGGTTCTGGAGGCTTTAGCAGGTTCTGGAGGCTTTAGCAGGTTCTGGAGGTTTTAGCAGGTTCTGGAGGCTTTAGCAGGTTCTGGAGGTTCTGGAGGTTTTAGCAGGTTCTGGAGGTTTTAGCAGGTTCTGGAGGCTTTAGGAGGTTCTGGAGGTTCTGGAGGTTCTGGAGGCTTTAGCAGGTTCTGGAATCTTTAGGGGGTTCTGGAGGTTCTGGAGGCTTTAGCAGGTTCCGGAGGCTTTAGGAGGTTCTGGAGGCTTTAGCAGGTTCTGGAATCTTTAGGGGGTTCTGGAGGCTTTAGCAGGTTCTGGAGGTTCTGGAGGTTCTGCAGGCTTTAGCAGGTTCTGGAGGTTTTAGCAGGTTCTGGAGGTTCTGGAGGTTCTGGAGGCTTTAGCAGGTTCTGGAGGTTCTGGAGGTTCTGCAGGCTTTAGCAGGTTCTGGAGGTTTTAGAAGGTTCTGGAGGCTTTAGCAGGTTCTGGAGGTTCTGGAGGCTTTAGCAGGTTCTGGAGCTTTTAGCAGGTTCTGGAGGTTCTGGAGGTTCTGGAGGCTTTAGCAGGTTCTGGAGGTTCTGGAGGTTCTGCAGGCTTTAGCAGGTTCTGGAGGTTTTAGAAGGTTCTGGAGGCTTTAGCAGGTTCTGGAAGTTCTGGAGGTTTTAGAAGGTTCTGGAGGCTTTACCAGGTTCTGGAGGTTTTACCAGGTTCTGGAGGCTTTAGAAGGTTCTGGAGGTTTTACCAGGTTCTGGAGGCTTTAGAAGGTTCTGGAGGCTTTAGCAGGTTCTGGAGGCTTTAGAAGGTTCTGGAGGCTTTAGCAGGTTCTGGAGGTTTTAGCAGGTTCTGGAGGCTTTAGCAGGTTCTGGAGGCTTTAGCAGGTTCTGGAGGCTTTAGCAGGTTCTGGAGGCTTTAGCAGGTTCTGGAGGCTTTAGAAGGTTCTGGAGGCTTTAGCAGGTTCTGGAGGCTTTAGAAGGTTCTGGAGGCTTTAGCAGGTTCTGGAGGCTTTAGCAGGTTCTGGAGGCTTTACCAGGTTCTGGAGGCTTTAGAAGGTTCTGGAGGCTTTAGCAGGTTCTGGAGGCTTTAGCAGGTTCTGGAGGTTTTAGCAGGTTCTGGAGGCTTTAGCAGGTTCTGGAGGTTCTGGAGGTTTTAGCAGGTTCTGGAGGTTTTAGCAGGTTCTGGAGGCTTTAGGAGGTTCTGGAGGTTCTGGAGGTTCTGGAGGCTTTAGCAGGTTCTGGAATCTTTAGGGGGTTCTGGAGGTTCTGGAGGCTTTAGCAGGTTCTGGAGGTTTTAGCAGGTTCCGGAGGCTTTAGGAGGTTCTGGAGGCTTTAGCAGGTTCTGGAATCTTTAGGGGGTTCTGGAGGCTTTAGCAGGTTCTGGAGGTTCTGGAGGTTCTGCAGGCTTTAGCAGGTTCTGGAGGTTTTAGCAGGTTCTGGAGGTTCTGGAGGTTCTGGAGGCTTTAGCAGGTTCTGGAGGTTCTGGAGGTTCTGCAGGCTTTAGCAGGTTCTGGAGGTTTTAGAAGGTTCTGGAGGCTTTAGCAGGTTCTGGAGGTTCTGGAGGCTTTAGCAGGTTCTGGAGCTTTTAGCAGGTTCTGGAGGTTCTGGAGGTTCTGGAGGCTTTAGCAGGTTCTGGAGGTTCTGGAGGTTCTGCAGGCTTTAGCAGGTTCTGGAGGTTTTAGAAGGTTCTGGAGGCTTTAGCAGGTTCTGGAAGTTCTGGAGGTTTTAGAAGGTTCTGGAGGCTTTACCAGGTTCTGGAGGTTTTACCAGGTTCTGGAGGCTTTAGAAGGTTCTGGAGGTTTTACCAGGTTCTGGAGGCTTTAGAAGGTTCTGGAGGCTTTAGCAGGTTCTGGAGGCTTTAGAAGGTTCTGGAGGCTTTAGCAGGTTCTGGAGGTTTTAGCAGGTTCTGGAGGCTTTAGCAGGTTCTGGAGGTTCTGGAGGTTTTAGCAGGTTCTGGAGGTTTTAGCAGGTTCTGGAGGTTCTGGAGGCTTTAGCAGGTTCTGGAATCTTTAGGGGGTTCTGGAGGTTCTGGAGGCTTTAGCAGGTTCTGGAGGTTTTAGCAGGTTCCGGAGGCTTTAGGAGGTTCTGGAGGCTTTAGCAGGTTCTGGAATCTTTAGGGGGTTCTGGAGGCTTTAGCAGGTTCTGGAGGTTCTGGAGGTTCTGGAGGCTTTAGCAGGTTCTGGAGGTTCTGGAGGTTCTGCAGGCTTTAGCAGGTTCTGGAGGTTTTAGAAGGTTCTGGAGGTTTTAGGGGGTTCTGGAAGTTCTGGAGGTTTTAGAAGGTTCTGGAGGCTTTAGCAGGTTCTGGAGGTTCTGGAGGCTTTAGCAGGTTCTGGAGCTTTTAGGGGTTTCTGGAGGTTCTGGAGGTTTTAGAAGGTTCTGGAGGCTTTAGCAGGTTCTGGAGGTTCTGGAGGCTTTAGCAGGTTCTGGAGCTTTTAGGGGGTTCTGGAAGTTCTGGAGGTTTTAGAAGGTTCTGGAGGCTTTAGCAGGTTCTGGAGGTTCTGGAGGCTTTAGCAGGTTCTGGAGGTTCTGGAGGCTTTAGCAGGTTCTGGAGCTTTTAGGGGGTTCTGGAAGTTCTGGAGGTTTTAGAAGGTTCTGGAGGCTTTAGCAGGTTCTGGAGGTTCTGGAGGCTTTAGCAGGTTCTGGAGGTTCTGGAGGCTTTAGCAGGTTCTGGAGGTTTTAGAAGGTTCTGGAGGCTTTAGCAGGTTCTGGAGGTTCTGGAGGCTTTAGCAGGTTCTGGAGCTTTTAGGGGGTTCTGGAGGTTCTGGAGGTTTTAGAAGGTTCTGGAGGCTTTAGCAGGTTCTGGAGGCTTTAGCAGGTTCTGGAGCTTTTAGGGGGTTCTGGAGGTTCTGGAGGTTTTAGCAGGTTCTGGAGGCTTTAGGAGGTTCTGGAGGTTTTAGCAGGTTCTGGAGGCTTTAGAAGGTTCTGGAGGCTTTAGAAGGTTCTGGAGGTTTTAGGGGGTTCTGGAGGCTTTAGGAGGTTCTGGAGGTTTTAGCAGGTTGTGGAGGCTTTAGAAGGTTCTGGAGGTTCTGGAGGTTTTAGGGGGTTCTGGAGGCTTTAGGAGGTTCTGGAGGTGTTAGCAGGTTCTGGAGGCTTTAGGAGGTTCTGGAGGTTTTAGCAGGTTCTGGAGGCTTTAGGAGGTTCTGGAGGTTTTAGCAGGTTCTGGAGGTTCTGGAGGCTTTAGAAGGTTCTGGAGGTTTTAGCAGGTTCTCGAGGCTTTAGAAGGTTCTGGAGGTTTTAGCAGGTTCTGGAGGCTTTAGAAGGTTCTGGAGGTTCTGGAGGTTTTAGGGGGTTCTGGAGAAGAGGCCCCAACCAGACTGAAACCCGTCTCTGTGATCCGATCCTTCTGTTGTTTTGACCTTTTGTGTCCGCAGGTCGGCCTTCTGGACCTGGAGCTGAACCGCCTCACCAAGGCCCTGTTTCTGGCCCAGGTGGTTCTGTCCGTCGTCATGGTGGCGCTGCAGGGGTTTGTGGGTCCTTGGTTCCGGAACCTTTTCCGATTCGTGGTGCTCTTCTCCTACATCATTCCCATCAGGTGGGACTCTGTTTGTCCGGAACCAGCAGAACCTCTGGTGTCAGACAAGATTTAAATGTACTCATTTCCTTTTGGGTCGGTTCCGTCCGACCCGTAGCTTACGCGTGAACCTGGACATGGGGAAGTCGGCCTACGGCTGGATGATCACGAAGGATGAAAACATTCCCGGTACCGTGGTCAGAACCAGCACCATCCCAGAGGAGCTGGGTCGGCTGGTCTACCTGCTGACGGATAAGACAGGTGGGTCCAGAGTTCTGAAGGCGGGTCGGGTTCTGGAGACACGGAGTTTGGAGATTTTGTTCATTTTAAAACCAAAGTTTTAGAAAAAATAAAAAAGTGAAACTTTTTATTTTCCTGCTGAACTTCAGGAACTTTGACTCAGAATGAAATGATCTTCAAGCGTCTCCACCTCGGAACCGTCTCCTACGGGACCGACACCATGGATGAGATCCAGAGCCACATCATCCAGTCCTACGCTCAGGTGAGTCATCGCTCACCTGCATGGCTCTGATTCCTAAATCCAGGAAGTTCAGCGGCCTGCTCCGGATTCTGGGATGGAGTTGGTCTGGTTGAGCAGCTGGTGGAGCTTTCAGGATGAGTGGAAGTCCTCAACGAGTGGAGGGTCCTGCTGGGCCTCCTCAGCTCCAGCACTTCAGAGTGTTTCCGGACATCAGGGAAACGTTCCAGGGAATCCCAGGACAGTTTGGCTTTCATCAGGATCTCAGATGTTTAACACAAACTTGTTTTTCCTCGTTACGAAACGTGGCTCCAGGTTCGAAGGTCCGGGCTCCGTGTCTTACTTCCTGCTGCTCTTTAATCGTAAATGGTTGCCAGAACGACGCCTGTACTGTTCATTCATCACGGCGTTCCTCAGCTGGTCCCCCCCCCCCCCCCCCCCCATGTGTAAATGACAGAGTCAGCTGATCCAACGCTCTTCAGCTGGTTTATTTATTTATTTATTTATTTATACAAGCTTTTAAAACTGACGGATCAGATATGAAAACATCAAAATCCCAGATTTAATCTCTTTTTTGTTTTTAAAGGAAGAAAAATGGTGTGTGTGTGTGTGTGTGTGTGTGTGTGTGTGTGTGTGTGTGTGTGTGTGTGTGTGTGTGTGTGTGTGTGTGTGTGTGTGTGCGTGCGTGCGTGCGTGCTTCTTCTGTGTTGGTTTAATTACTTCCTGTTTCAGGGGCCGTCTCAGCCATCCGCCGGTGCCGCTGCAGGCGGGGCCACGCCGTCCCGGAAGCCTCAAACCTCCGGTCCGAAGATCCGTAAGAGCGTCAGCAGCCGCATCCACGAAGCTGTGAAGGCCATCGCCCTGTGTCACAATGTCACGCCGGTCTACGAGTCCCACCCGGGTGTGAACGGAGAGACGGAGTCTGCAGAGGCCGACCAGGATTTCAGCGACGACAACCGCACCTACCAGGCCTCCAGTCCGGATGAGGTAAGGCAAGCCAGTGGATTATTAATCTTTTAAACTTCTGGACTGGTTCAGATCCACCAATCAGAACCTGCAGCTACAGCCATGGTGCATTCACAGACAGGAAAGAAATGGGATCTTTGAGTTTCCGACCGATCGTGCTGTTTGTCGGCCGATTTAAGAGTGTGGTGATTCGTGTGGCGTTCATTTGGCTAACCGTTAATGAGAAGAGTTTCAACGCGCTCGTCCGCGGCTGCAGGTGGACGACGGAGCGTCGTTTCTATGTTCGTTACGACGCTCCGTCTTCCACCTGAAGCCGTGGACGAGCGCGTTGTTACTGTCGTCATAGATTTGGGTCACTTCTGTGACACCGACCAATGAGGAGAGGTCTTACATCACTCACAGCAAGGCCCCGCCCACTAACCCACTTTTCATCTCAAACTAAAAACTAGTTTTCAGACCAGCAAACGGAGACGGGCGAACGAAACCTGAAGTCTAAACGTCTACGATCCGCTTTTGTTCCTAAAACCAGCGTTGGTCTGGAGGATTCAGAACGATGAGATTAAATAATCCGGATTAAAGGAGGTTCATCTTGAAGGCTCCTGTCATACCAGGTGATGAACCTGCAGCTGTTCAGCTCGCTCGCCCGGCTGCTGCGCTCTCTCTCTCTCTCTGGTCGATCGATATCTAATTTCCTCCCAGACCGTCGGCGAAACCTCCTCCTGCTTCATGTCTAGATCAGAACTCCGGTTCCGTGTTCTGGACCCGGTACTTTTCCTGGTCTTTAAACACACCTCCACACAGCAGCGATAAAAGAATCCAACATTTTCCTGGTCCGTGAACTCATCACCATGCTAGCTGGACCGGAACCGAACCTGTGACCAAATCAGACGGCTGAATAAATGTTTTCAAAGATAAAACCATCAGAGGTCAGAGGTCAACCTGCTGCTTGTGCCTCAGGTGGCGCTGGTCCGATGGACGGAGAGCGTCGGGCTGACCCTGGTCAACCGAGACCTGACGTCTCTGCAGCTGAAGACGCCGTCCGGTCAGATCCTGTCCTTCCACATCCTGCAGATCTTCCCTTTCACCTCCGAGAGCAAACGGATGGGAATCATCGTTCGGGTTCGGACCGCCGGCCCGACTCACCTTGTAGTTACTTGTCTGAGCTGGGAAGTGTGGCGTCTGACTGAAACGTGTTTCTCTGATGCAGGAGGA